CGAGCAGAAGGAATTTTAAAAATATAATGACGAAATAGTTGGTTTAGATAAAAAGTATTACTTCATTAATTAAATAGTAGTAGTGAAAGGTAATACAATCATAAAACGTCAGGAATTAATAACACTATTATTATTATTATCAATAACAGAATTCTTGACACTTTGACGAAATCTAAAAAATAAAAAAATCGTTCCCAATCTCTTGTTGAGCGTAGACGTCGGTGTACTTAGCTTCTGGCGGTAAGCATAGTTAACTGGTCGAAGAATGGCGGAGAACATTAAATAGTTCTAGCTGCACAAATTGAAAAGCTGCCAGTCTCTCTCAAAACAAACTCGACCGCATTTTTGCCCATTTTCATGCATGACCTTTTTTCCATGAAAGGGTTTGCGAAGTGTTTCAGTTATTGTAATTGATTTGAGATGTAAATAGCTGTCAGTGAAGTGGTTTTCTGGTGGTCAGATAACACGTCAACTCCTACTTCCTTTCCAAGAAAAGCAGATTAACCTAAGAATTGACTTCCAATCCTGATAAATAACTGAGCTCCAACCCAAAACTGGGAAAACCGAGTTTTCTGTGCTAACAGCACGCTTCGTTAAAAAAAGAAAAAAAAAACATGGAGCAAGCTTCCACCATTGATCAAAACGAACAACAACATGAAGACAGCGACTCAACGTATGCCGACTTTCTTAACGCAGTAAGGAACGGGACTGAAGTGCAAGTGAGACATTTTTTGTCACAACTAAAAAGTACAAACACCACCGTTAGAGAAATAAACGAAAATGGAGAGGAAGATGTGGGTGAGAGACCATCTTACAGACAGAAGCTTCTTAATGCTCTCGCAGAAAAAAACACTGGTGAGGTATGGAGCCTTATCGCAGAAGGTAATGAAGAAGAGATAAAGACTCTAGAAACGCTTAACAGTATCTGCGAAACTGTTGCGGAACACGAGCGTCTGAGGGAAGCTGGTCTTTTCAGCTGCAAGCTGGGCAAACTTCAGAGCCAAATAAGATGCAACGGTCCATGTGGATGTGGCCGAAGCGGACGTGAACGGGAAGGAGAGAATTACCAAACACAACTGGAACGCGAAGAGGAACAACAGTGGATAGACATACTTTCCGATCCACTGTATATCTGCTTGAATTGGTTATGGACGACCAACCCAAACGGTGGATCACCGACCTCTCCTAATCAACATGGAACAAAGAGGGAAGACGTCATTGAAGGTGCACTGCACGATGCTAATCTCTTGGAGAAAATTGCTCTGTACGAGCATCATTACAGCCGATACGAGTACACGAGGCGAGCAGAAGCATATGAAAAATTTGCCATTGATGTTGTTGAAGGAAGTACTTGGGACCAACTCCTTCAGATAATGGATGACAAGGGAACTGGATGTCTTTTAACGAAAAAGCCAAGTGATTTTAACCAGAGTCTGAGTCTACTCAAGACTGCTGCTGATAAAGAAAGAAAGCTGGTATGTATGGCTTTATTACTTATATGCCCTTCCAAAATTCAACGTTCGTTTGCGTTTCTTAGTTTTCATTTGACTTTTGTTGTCGCAGATTCCCAGGACAGTTTCAGTAGACAACTTTGGAGTTTAGAAATGTTATTTCTGGTTTTCAGATGACGACGTCATCAAAATTCATAACTAAAGAATTATAGGTCCTCTTTCATGAAGCAATTAGAGCAGTTGAAAACTAATATTTATACAAATTTGCGCTTTGAAAGGACTCTTTGTTTTGTTATAGAGTGCGTTTGCATAATTCCTAAGCATGACGCAGGGTGTATGTAATCATACATAACAAAAACGGCTAACTTTTTTGTTTTGTCTATAGGCTGAGTATTGCATATTTAGCCGTTGTCTAAACACCGACTCGGTACTCTTTACATGACAGCCGAAGGAGCTGTCATGTAGATTAAAAAAGTGACTTGTTTCAGTTCTTGTATTAGAAAACTATTACTTTAATGTTTGTGAGTTCCTCGAGAAATGAATAGACCTATTGGCTATTAAACTCAATGTTGTACCCAATTCAAATCTCTCGTGATTAAAGTTCTTTGTGTCTTGTATTTGGGTTATGATGTGGCATTCTCATTTAAATGATATGAAAATTCCTGAAACAAGACGTTTTATTCCCAAAGGGTCTGAATTGGGTACAACACTGAGTTAGCCGAATAGGTCTATTCACGCTTTCGTAACAAATCTCAGTAACAGATGTTTCTGTTGGTTTGCCGTTTCTGCATTGGTGCCCATGCGGTTCGGCACACGACGTCTCCATACAAGTCTCCATAAATTTGGGTAAGACATTTCGCAGGATATCTCGCATATTAAAAACTGCTCTGACCTTAATGTTTGCGAGGGTCTTTGCATGCATATTTACCTTCTTTCATTTCTCATATTCTGGACTTAATCTCAATAGGCCATTTTACAGTTATGGATGGAAGCGAGGCTGAGGGTGACCTTGTTTTGATACAAACCTTCTTTGCTTTGTTATGGAAATTGTTCTTGAAAAATACTGGTTAGCATGTAGCCTGCGTAGCTGGCGGTATTGTGTGGGTGCGAGATTAACGTTTTGGCGGCGGAGCCGTGTTCCAAAAAAAAGGAGTAGGGACGAGGCGGTTGAAATACCGCCTGCCAGAAAACCCCGGTATTTTGAATGGTTCGCACACCAGTGTGCGGGGAAACGGATTGGTCGACGGCCATACATATGTCAATCATGTTAGATGAGCCTTCGCGTATATTTCCCAATTTAGGGAGCAGATGGTGATTGTGTTTTCCGCTTTAGAAAGAGCATAATTGATGACCAAATTCCCGAAATGGCGTCTTTAAAATTCACAGCGCTGGAATTGTCTTAATTTAGCCGTAAAAAACAAAGGTCAAAGAAAATTAAAACATTTTACAACTGCATCTGAGATCAAATCCTATCAGGAACACCTACAGAAGAATAAACCACCGGAAATGGTTACTCAGTATGCATGTAACAAACCAGCTTCATTACCTTTTAATGTTAAGCCTAGTGTTGCAAAAAAAGATTATATGCCACAAAAACATGAAATCTATGGGATTTTTTTACAGTTTTTCGAAAGTTTTGCGGAAAACTTTATGAAAAATATTCTACAAGAAATGAACCTAGAATGGATTTAGTTTGAGACAGCAACAATTACAAGTGATTATGTACTACATAAGCACTTGAGCATTTCATAAGCTCAGTTGCAGGCAAAACGAATGCACATACCCCGCAAAAACGAACAATACTTTTATTTTTCTAAAAGATACAGAGATTGTTCCCAAGCTACTATTTTGAAGCGACTCTTGAGTAACAGCTCCTGTGTTCCACAATCGATTTCTTGTTATTTATCTATATTTGATGACAGGAGTGATCCATTCAAAACAGAGAATGACCATCACTCCATAAATCAAACTGACGATGTTGTTCACTTTCAAAGCCTGTTTAAACATAAGACAAGACGTTTGTTAAAGGGGTGCATATAATGCTGTTTCCTCAAAAAATAAATGCTACTGCTAGAGGACCCAAATGAGCTGGGATGCGACAACAAACATTACACAAATGGATGGAGTGAATTTGTCTGTTATTAATGTTTCTGTTGGCAGTTTTTTACTGTACCCAGATGAACCCCTTATGTAAGTTGTACATCATGGAAGAATTATATAGCATAAACTGATGCATTAAACAAGAATGTGGTTCAATACAGAGGAGAAGCTGTTCTCATTCAACATCATTTGTGAATAAAATGTCTCACAAATTAGCATATCAACAAATGTAGTATCCACAAATGGTATCATTTACGAATAAGTGCAATTTTTTTGCAACAGAAGCCAGGATTTATTTAAAAGGTGTATTGATAACGTTTCATTTCGTGCTATTTTGGGGTTGGGGAGTTAGGCTAGATTTTCTTTACAACGCCAAAGTGTTATATCTATTTGCATAATAAAATGTATACAAACAGTGTACCATCAAAATAAGGTGGAAAAAGTCAGAATTCAAACCGATTGCTGTAATTTTTTTCCTTTGTATAACTAAATGATAGAATATTCTTATTTTCAAAACACAACCTTACTGGCATCATTATATTGATTTAAATTTGTAGTTGAAGTGCGTGTATTTTATTTCTCAACGAAGACGTACCGGTGAAAAAAGCTAAAATTACTACAGAAGGCGATTTTTCACAGCCTTCATCAAAGCGCCATTTATTCGGGGAAGTATTCTTAGTTTCATCAGTCATTAACTTAATTTGGGGAGAAAGGCAAGATTTCGAGATAAACAAGCCAGCGAAAGGGTGAAAAACAGTTTCACGGCAGAATGGACACTTAATTAACCACTGTATTCCTGAAACGATAAAGTTCGATTTTAAATTTACACTATTGAGAAGAATTAAGTGTCTGTAGGATAATTGTTTAACGAAAAATTAGCATACTGACCTTTTCCTCCTGCTCAAAAAATGTGCACGAAATGTTAGGTCGTAAGAACATTCAGCCGCCAGCTTGTCTTCGATGCACTGTTTTACGAAAGGAAAGACTGTCCTCTCAAGGGCGACAGCGAGGCTACAATAAACTCACTTTCATCCTAGAAATACCACGATACCATGTTTGTGGAACGTAGCACCCAATACACGTCATTCAGCTCCAGAAAACAGCCTGCAAATGCTGGTACTGAACGCAAACAATTCACATAAAATGCCTCTGTGGCACTTCAACAGCCCATATTGACGCATGCGCATACAAAATGCCCTCCTGTTTTGTCGCAGATTCCTCGGACAGTTTAACAAGCTAGACAAGTTTGGAGTTTACAAATGCGATAGCCTGCGTATAGCTGTTGTTTTTTTGATGTGTTTTTCGTTTAAGGTTCGCATTTATACGGCCGCGTGCGAGGTCCGAGATAAAGCGACGGGGGAGGATAGCGAGGGAGCTGAGGGAGAGAGAGAGAAAGTTTGGCTTACCCGTAATAATTTACTTGTGGTCCTAAGTCCTTATGAGTAGTTT